TACATCACTAGAAGTCTGTATGCTTTAATTGTGTGGATTTAACACAAGAAAATTGAGCATGAAAATGAAAAACCAAGAGCCTGAACGTGGAAAAGGAGAAATCTTCGTAGCAACCTTTGAAAAATCCTCATATTTTGGATAGTGTGAGATCACAAACTTCTAAGTGGTCTGAATAAGTTCACTGGAGGCAAGTTGTCTATTTAGGAAAAAAAAATGTAGTTGACTGTGCTTTATGCCTAATAAGAGCCTTGATATTATGGGTATGAGTGAGTATTCACATCTTTTGGCATATAAAAATATTCTTCTCAGCTTCTTCCACTAATGTCAAAGCAAACGACAGTTTTCTGTAGGGACATCGTCACTACCTGAAGCCTGATCCTATTTCAGAGACAGCACATAACATGTTTTTACAATAATGGATCTCAGGGGAAAAGTAATTCTCAAGATACATGACCAGATTTCATCTTGACATTAATATTCCTGTAAGTACAATGACAAAGGGCAATCATGCAGACTTAGAGAAAGATCTCAAAGAAAAATGGAGGAAGAAAAGTGCCACCCACAGAATGCATAATATAAAAATGTAAACCCATTAAGAGGGCTTCGTTTTTAAAGATATCACAGACCCATAGGACAAGATGACGTCTTTGAAAACACGAATGAACCTATGACAAAGAAATGCCGGGCTCTGAACCATAAGGATAAGAGATTTATTTTTTTAATGAAATAATGTATTTTGCAGTTTCAGAGAAGACAGAGCTATGTCTTTCACATTGAAGAGAACTGTCAAGAAAACAGAAGCACGACATAAAACCTACTCCGTGGATCCTTAGTAACTAAGAAAAAACCAGATGATTATGGGTGGTGTCACACAATAAAGATTTCTTACTGAATCCTCTGCTTCCCACATACTCAAGGAGTATTCAGAGATAAGATAGAACTGAATGGGGGTCTCATCTTCCTCTCAGTATACATGAGCTGATCTTGGAGACTGATGGGAAAAGATTCTCAAACTTGCTTATAAACCACACATTCTTTTGCCATGGATAAGCAATCTGGCTCCGCCAAAAGAATATATTAGCAACCTGTTGTTTACCTTCTTGAATTCTTCAAGGAAAATCTTATAATTTGTATGGATCGATTAGGATCGGATCAGCATCTTTAGCAGGTACCAAGTGGGAAAACATCAGAAGAGAACGTCATAAGGGTGGAGGCCCATTGTCTTTGTTCATTTGTTGGATATTTTCTCAAGAACGAGATGGATTACAGGATCAATTTCCCATTCTAAAGCGATTGAGTATAGCTATGTTGCAGCAGAAAGAGACTCCTATTTGCCTTACCTATTACAGCAACTAATGATTATCTACAAGAAAAGGCCTTTCTTTTGAGTGAGTTTATTAATATCGGGTCAACAGTTCTCTCTTTTTTTCCTCTAAGGCTGGAAAAAGTCAGGGGAAAAGAAAACACATATTAAGCATTTCAAGATAATAGCTATTTACTGAAAACTCTATTTCAAAATAAATTTGAAGTTCAGGACAATGATAACTATGGTGTTTCTAAAGGGTTCCTAAGTAGCAATCAGGCTCTATTCTGGCCTACAAGAGGTGTTAAGACTCATCCCCTAATTATAAGCCTTTTCTCTGTTATTACCAGCTCACCATTAAATCTCTAAACTAAACAGTAGTTTCAGGAAAATAAAAATAGAAGGAGGTGGGTTTTTATCCAGTAATTTGGCAACTATCTTTATTTCGAGAGAGATTCCAGATCAACGACTTTTCTCCTCCTTCACAAAGTTTTCTTTAGTTTTGACCAGGCCAAATCTCTGAAAGAATAAATGAAGTTTCACTCACACTTCCTTCTAGGATCCCTGCTTTTCAGTTTTTTCCCTGACTGCCAAAAAGAGGACATTCACTTTCTCCATTCTAAAAGACGACTTAATTTAGAATCTTTTCAGAGTAATATTCTTCCTAATCAACGCCGCCATTTGGATTTTATACTGACTCACGGATAATTGCTATCGAGCTGGAACAGCCCTGAGATGTATGATCCCCCTGAGGCCCAGAGTAGTTCAGGGACTTGCCTGACGTCACATGATGGAAGGGCCATAGCTGGAATTGGGACCCCTGTCCTTGCACCTGAAAAAGCATCCCTGCTCCTTGACCTGCCCACATGGGGCTAAAATAAGGCAGCAGGTTTCAACCCCTTCTCGTTTCTCCTTTTCTTGGAGTTCAAGACATTGCCAAAGTTCTGAGTTTTCATTTCCATCTCCCTGAAATTGTCCTGGCTGTCTCTCCTGTGCTAACCCTACCTTGCTGTTGTATAAAACTGACCATTCGCTATCTGTTTCTGTAAATCAATCTTAGTGAATCAAATTTCAATGGCCAACTAGGCATTTCAATCTGTGAAGATGATGCTTTCATTACCATGTTATTAACTCTTAGATTACAAAGCCTTCTAACCTAAGAAGCAATAATTTTAACCCTTGGGTTCCCAACAGGAACAGAATAGTCTGCTCCCAATGAGAGGATGAAGGCAGCTTTTTTCTTTCAATTTTTGGTCTCATTTCATAAGAATCCTATGACCAAAGGCAGGCCTAGGTGCCAGAATCAAAATAGGAGTCCAGTTGAGAAGATGATTTTGTTTGAAGTACGCAAACATAAACCCAGTAATGACATGCCAAAGCATATTTCACAATCGCTCCTCTGTTTTCAGTCTTGCCATTTAAGAAATGGATCTGTTAGACAAATATGCTTCACAGTACAAAACTAGACCAAAAAACCAAAGATTTAAAAAAACTGTTCAGGACTGTGCATATAAGAATTTTCTGAGTCTCCAGATATTCATAAAAGTAGATGATTATGTTTTAAGTGGCACTATAATTGCAGATTTTCTGGGGCTGACAATCTGTTCCCTAAAACTCAAAGGTTATTCTGGTTTTCCTCCCTCAGAAAAAACACCTATCATTAAGTACATAAAACAGAAACCTTTGAGGAGGCCTCTCAAAATCTCATTACCGAGTCTCTATTTTCAGCTGGCTACTTCTCCAACAATGGAGGGAAAGGATACAGTGCTACCTGTGTGAGAATCCATAAGAAAAGAAAGGAGATGAAGGCCTGCTCGATGGAAATCTGAATCCAAGGGAAGCCACCCTCCAGGGGTGACATCTCTAATTTTATCCAAGTCCATGGGTGACAGGGATAGAATTTCCCAAGAGAGTTCCTTATGTTTTTCTGACTTAATAGCTAAGTCCACGATGCATATTAATGTTGTCATAAACACATATTGAAACCGTCATATTTTAAAAAGGTCTAGAGGAAGACGAATTTCACACTTACTGAACTTTCGTTTTACAACGTGTCCACGATAACAGTTTATCTCGGAGGCAATGATACACAGAACTGAGCCTCCCAAGGGTTCGTGCAGTGTGCTAACATGGAGTAGAATAGTATGGTGTGGGATATTAGCCTAAGTCAACCGTCTGTATATAACCTGCAAACATACAGTTGGTTCAAAGACAGGAGAAGGGAACAGTATGTCCGGAGGAGGGGGGTGGGGTATAGGATTTCAAAGCCCAGTGCAGTGGATCTGCAAATCCAAAGGCATTAATTAGGGCGTGTGTGTGTGTGTGTGTGTGTGTGTGTGTGTGTGTGTGTGTGCGCGCGCGCGCCACATTAATGTGTTGCGCTTGCTGATTTTTAAAGAAACATCAGTGCAGGCCTAACTTTGTCGCGTTGACTCCATTTTCCGGCCACGGGCTAGTGTCTGCGCGCACACCCTGCAAAGTTAATGGTGATCAACTTTGTGACATGCCCTCTCCTGTTTTAATACAAGAAAGCACGTATAACTCACAGGCTCAGAGCAGAACCAGCCTCACCCCTTAGGCCCTGCAGACCTCAGAACACAAACGGTTATTTTGTCTGCACCCAAACAGCAGTAAACTACCATGGGGGAAATTTCTTTTTTTTTTTTAAAAAGCCCTCCACCATCGACCCACCACTGTAACAGGCTAGGGAATCAAAGTATTCTCACATGACACAACGCTACCTCCGTTTAAAGAAAGGGGGTGGGGGGAAGCCAACATATTTTTCCTGCTTTTGTCCAAAGCCCGGAGCCCCCGGCAAGGATGATCGATTACTTTGCTTCACCTTGAGTGAAAGCCAGGAAAAAACCACCTCCCCAATCCACAGAGACAGCTTCGCCACTTAGATTTTTTTTTTTAATGGTTTGTGAGTGACGCACTAGAAAACTAGGGAGAAAAAAAACGAAAGAAAGAAAACCTCTCTCTCATGCAGGGCGTCTTCCGCCCCATAAACTTGGCAAAAAGCAAACTGTACTGAAATACTCCATTCCCCATATAAGGCAGCCCAGCTAAACATGTCATGCGTAATTTATGTTCAGCCGGCGGAGAATTAACCTTTCGGTGAACATATTTGGCCCATATGAAAAGCAGGCTGGATGGCAGGGGGAGGGAGGGGGCTGAGAAGCCAGGCTCTTTTGGGGACACGGCTCGGAGCTCTCCCTCAGCCCCCGGGGGCTCTCTCGCGCGTTCCCTCCTCCTAACAAAGGTCAGTAAGTTGTGAACACACTTGCAAGCACCTGTTTTCTTTCTTTCTTTTTCTTTCTTATTTTTTTTTTCAGACTGCAAAACTGTGTCCTGGCTGGGCTTTGACAGGGTCTGCAGGACACGCACGCACACACAAGCGCGCTCACACACACACGCAGACACACACAGGAAACCCAACTGCAGCTGTGACCTTCTGCTTTCTTTGGGGCTGGAGATGGTGTGTGATATGAAACCATCGAGTGTGGTAACCCAGCCCCTGCCTGGTCACATTCATTCTGTTCTCTCCAGAGCTTAATCTCACTTCCTCGTTCAGCCACCTCCATTGCTCTTGGCCCCTCCAGAGTCCCAACGACAGAGTCCAAGACGAGGAGGAAGAAGAGGAGGAAGAGGAGAAGAAAAGGGAGGGGGAGAGAGGACTACGAAAATGGAAACTTACCTCTCACATATTTTTCAGAGGCAACCAGACTGTAGACGGCTTGCCCAAGGCATTGTGGGATTCATTCTGACAAGATGACCAAGATTGGAAATTGAACTTGTCAGTCCCTTGTCACAGAAGCATTATGAGGATGGCCCCGGCTCATTCAGCTGCAGCGAAAGGCTGTTGCACGGAGCTGGGCAGACTCTTATCTCTGATGCCTGGTTTCCGTTGCTGCCTGCACCGCCCCTCCCCCATTCAGCAAACCCTACCAGGAAGCACTGGGCGTACTTGCTCAAGCCTCAAGAATGCACACACAGGGAAAAAAAGCTGGGAAACTTTGAGCGGCGGGCTGGCTTGGCTGGCACTCCCCCCAGAAGCCCCCCACGAGCCAGGCGGGAGGAGCCACCGAGGCCATTGCATCGGCCCTGCTGCTCGGGGACGAGGAAAAAGGGGAAGGGGAGATCCCGGGCTCCAGGGGAGCATCCCCTCCACAATCCTAGTGGTATCTCCCATCTTATATGTAAAGCATTATAACCTCGGAGCTGGAGTGTAAATGTGACACATTCCTGCTGCCGGCCCGCGCCTTCGGACAGTCTGGGCAGACAGAGGCGTCCATTATTAAAGAGGCCCTCCGATGGGACCGGGAAGAGCCCTTGGACAAGGTTAGCCTGAAGGTGAGGTTCAGATTAGGAAGAAGCCCCTCACGCTTTGCAGGGCTGCCTGCGGGCCGCTGCCAATGCTGAAGCAGCCTTGTTAACAGCAGAGAGAATATCTGCAAAGGAGGGAACCCCGGCCAGCAGTCGCTCCCTGGCCCTCCTCAAAGTGGCAGTTCCTCAGTAAACCTGGCCGTGACCCTAGTGACTTCCACCATGAAGAAAAGCCAGAGTTCCACGCAACGTTCCTTTGGTCTAGAGGCTCTTAAGCGATTGTATGCCACGGACCCACCCCATCCTTTGTCAAGCCAGTGCAGCCTACGGACCTTTGCTCAGAATCAGGTTTTTGAATCCATAAAATAAAATATGCGCAGGATTACAAAGGAAACCAATTATGTTAAAATAGGGCTATGAAAATATTTCTGAAAAGTTTACAGGCATTAGGTTAAGAGCCACTGCTCCATATTAACACAGAATATTGTTTACTAAGGAACGAACATTGAACTCTTAAAAAGAAAACAACATTGTGTAAAATGTCAGAAAACCTTGGTATCAACACACTGGAGGAAAGGATGGGGGTCATCAATCACCTCACAGGTCCACATGTCATCTGTTGCTTACGAACTGAAGTTCGTCATCTTATAAGCTCATGGAAATATCACGAGATGAGGTCAGCAGATCTGGGTTCAAAACCTGCCTCTGAGGTAACCTTGGCCAAGTCATGACCTCTACTGGTCACGGTTTTTTCATCTGTAAAATGAGGGCATTGGATGAGTTCGGAAGTGCCTAATCTGGGGCCCGTGGACTTGTTGTTGTAGTCATTTTAATGACTGTATTTGAATATAACGGATTTCCTTTGTAATCCTCTGCCTTTTATTTTATGAACTTAAAACCATGATTGTTTTTAAAAAAGAAAAGTTCCATAGGCTTGCAAGAGTACCGAAGGAACCCAGGACACAAAGGTCAAGAATCCCTGGACTAGAGCCACCAACAAGAATCTAGTATGCGCCTACTATATGACAGGCCCTCTGTTAGGGGCTGCTTGACCTCTGAGATCCTTTCCAGCTGGAAATCTAGATTCCTCAGACGCTGAACTTGAACTCAGCACCGGATGGGAAGATGGTCAATTTTATGTTCTCTGTACATGGCAAAGACTGTCAGAAGTGAGGGGAAAGAGGGCCAACGTGGGCAGAACCAGAAATTTCATTGGTTGAAAGGTACTCCAAGTGAAGAACCACCCTTTATCAATGGAAATCCCTCCCTTTTCTGCAACTCAGAATGAGAAATGAAGTCGCTTGCCCAGGGTCAAACGAGCAGTAAGCATTAGAGGTAGGGATTGTCCAGGCCTGGCTCTAATGGTTCTCATTTTCCATGAACTCTTAAGTTTTTGTACAGGGGAATGATCTGAGGGCAGTACTGCTGAATAGCTAGAATTTCCCCAAAGGGTAATGTTAGGGTTGAGGTAAGAGGGATGAGTAGGACCAGGCTAGGGAAGCTGGATTCGGGAGTGCTTCCAAAATGTCAGCCACCCAACTCTTAGTGGCACTTAGGCACGAAAATAATTGGTTTGACAGACCTCAGAATAGAATAGCTTTTACGTAAATTAATGTAGTATTCCTACTGCGGGGTGGGAGAGGGAGCTGAAACCACCATGCCTTTGGATTGTCTGGACAGACGAGGCAGTCATTATTTAAAGAGGCCCTCTGATCAGACTGGGGAAAGCTCCTGAGAAAGGTTAGTTTGAAGGCTAGATGGAGATGAGGAAGAAAGCTGTTGCGTGGAGATGTGTAACATCAGGTAATTCCATGACCTGAGTCACCAGAAGGTATCCAGGCATGTGTGCGTGTTTAAGGATGCTTTTGGAAGCACATTAAAAGCAAAACACAAAACCAAAACAAACCAAATGCTGCCTTCAGGTGCAGGTCTTGGAAAGCCGAAGCTGGGGCAGTTTCCTCATTTTCCCTTTACTCTCCTCCTTGAATGCTCCTCCCATCCCCTGTTATTGTTCCAGCCTGCTTCTTTCCTTCCATTCCTGCAATTATTAGGAGTTGCCTGGAGCCGCTTCCTGCTCACTGCAAGCAGTAGCATGACCCAGGGGTTGGGTTTAGATCCTGGGGCATGGCTACTCCTCGCTAATATTTCCTGAGGAACCTAGAGTTTGAATATTATGGGAAATATCGCATTAGCAAGATGTCTGAGCATGTAGACATACTGAATCCTTCCAAAGGGAAAAGGAAGGTTTGCCTTGGGTACAGCCAGAGAAGAAAAACGAAAAGCATCACGGAGGTTTGGGAGGGCCAGCGCAGTCCGCAAACCATTTCCAGAGGGAGGATTACTCAGGATGCCATTAGCTTCTTGGCAGTGTAATAATAGCGTTCCTTCTAGGCACTTCTCTCAAATTGCTTACCACACACTCAAGTCAACTGAGCAAGCATTTGCTCTGCAGTGCACACCTTCGTAGCTCTAGAGATGGAAGAGATCCCAGAGGCCATCAATGCAGCACTCTTGTTTACAGATGAAGACGCTAAGGCTCATGGAGATATGAGGATTTGCCCAAAGTTACAGAAGAAGCGGTAGTCAGGACGAGAAGACAAAAACAAGTCATGCCCCAAGGAGCTCAGGTTGTCCCAGATCTTCCCTTTGGAATGGCAAGTCAGCCTTCCCACTCTTAGAACCAGATGTCACTGAGTTATGATTTTCTTTAAAATTTCCAGTGGAGAATTTCAGTGTTTTTTTAAGTTTGGATCTATGAATTTTAAAACAAAATAAAACAACTTGCCTTTGGGAGCAAGAATATGAAAAAGGAGAATTTGAAACCATATGTAACAAAACAAGAAATGTTTTCTCCACCTTGGTACTGGGGAATGGGGAAATGGAACCAGAGACTCATCTTCTGCTCCACTGAAGAGAATACAAAGAAATACGAGGAGCCCCTGGAATGTCAGAGGCACTACAAGGCAGCCACCTCATTAAACAACAGAAGGAAGAAAAGAAAGAAAAGTCAGGAGACAGATAAAATCATGAAGGCCAAAACATCTCGCTGGAAGAGTAGACGGGCTGAAAACTGAGAAATGAATCCAAATCAACTGCGATACCAAAAGTGAGTAATGATCAGTTTAAGGAAGCAACTTTGACATTACTTATCACATTAATGACACCTTTTAAAAGTTCCAAAGCTGGATTAGGATCGTCAGGCAATATGACGAATGCCCATTTAGGGACAGTCTGCAGAGAATGCAACACCGACTTCCGTCTGGTCCCTTCAGGAACATTCTCATCTAATCTTCAGACCATGAGCATGATGCAGGCAAAACCCAATGATAGCAATAAGAAAAAGAAGAGCATTCATATTCTTTAAAGCTTGTGAAAAACTTGATGTATGATTGCCACATTTGATCTCCATACCAACCCTGATATCAAAAAACACCTTCACAATTTCCTAAGAGAATTTTGCTTTTAGTTCTATGAAATCAAGGTCCTAGGAACTTGTCTTCAGTGTATCCTATGTTATCAAAAGGAGGTCACATATGTAAGTAGAAAAGAAAACATAGTATAAAATGCAATCCACCTCCAGATACAGATCTAATGGTCTTGGAGTGAATATTAAAGGATATATATTTTTTTTTCTTTATTCTCCTCCCTGGCCCCCCACTCAGAACGTGGCTAATATGGAAATATGTTTTGCATGACTTCATTTGTATAAAGGGGACCTTATGTCTTGCCTTCTCAATGAGTGGGGGAAGAAACAGAGGAAGGGAAAGAACCTAAAACTGAAAATTAAAAAAAAAAATTTCTAAGTCCAAAAAAAATAAAGAAAAGAAAATCATAAAAAACAATAAAGGCTAAAAGCAAGTAGATTATTTTTAAATAAAATATTTTGTCCAACAATGCCTGGGCATCACCATCATTCCAATGGTGTGCAAGTTCTGGGATAGACTATTAATGTAGAAAGGTGAAGAATATGGGTTCAGACAAAGACAGACTTTCAAATAAAGACCAGCCTAAGTTAAACGAACTTTACCAGAATCATGTTCTCTGCTTTTCCCCTAAAACCGTGAGAAAGCCGGACGTGGTAGTGTATGCCTAATATCCCTGCTACTAGATAGGCCGAGGCAGATGGATCACTGGAGTTCTAGAGCTCTGAGCTGCAGTAGGGCTAGTATAGTAAGGTTTCCACACCAAATTTAGCACTAATATGGTGAATCACCCACCCCACCACCTGCACAGGAGAGGTAGGGTGGAATAAAGACAGAACACTGAGAACTGATCCAGGTCAGAAAGTGAGGTCAACACTTCCATGTGATTCAGCAATGGGATTGGGTTCCTACATGGCTGCTGGTCTTCTAGCTTGGGTGAGATAGGGAGTCTATGAAGTGAAATGAAATGAATGAAGCTAAAACAATGTAAAACCAGGGAGAAAGAGAAATGTGAGTCCCCAGTTTTGTTTTGAATGGTGAACCTTCTTTGCCTTAACTCTAAATTCACTGCATGTAGAAATAGTAACAATGAGGTGTCTGAGTGGGGATTGGGATATGAAACACAGGGAATGATCAAAATAAGTCTGAAAGGTGACCTTTTTTAACTATAATTTTCATGTGGTTTAGAAGTCTAGAAGGCCACAGGGAGGAAGGAAAAGCAGAGAATGAGACACAATTGGTAGAGGAAGCTCTGAGACTGTGGAAAGGGGGCTCGGGTTGACGTCCTAGAACCAAAGCTGAAATCCTGGGTGCCTCCTGAATCCCATAATTAACCAGGTGATTCAGTAACAAGAGGGTTTTACCCGGAACCAGGCAGATCTGAGTTCAAATCCTACCTTGAACACTTACCAGCTGTGGTCCTCTGGGCCAGTAAGTAATTTAAGTTCTCTCTGCCTCAGTTTCCTCATGTGTAAAATGGAGAGAATTATAGCAGCTGCCTACTTGAGATCAAGTAACATAACACCCATAAAGTATTCTATGCACATCAAAGTGGTTTATAAGTGCTACCTGCTATTATTATTATCATCATGTCTTTGCTAGAAGGAACTGTGAAACATCAACTGGTCTAGCCCCCTGCCTTGAAACAGGAAAGTATTATCTCCATTTGACGAGGACAGGGCAGGCCACAGTGGGGAATGCTGAATTTGGACTCAGGAAGCCTGGGTCTGGCTCGGCTCTTCTCCTTCCAGAATCCGTGTGACCCTGGGTAGGTCACTCACCATCCTGCGCTCTGGTGTCCTGGGACTCTAAAATGAGGAGGCTAGACCAGTGGTGACTCCGCTCCCTTCCTTCTCAGACTCAGTGATACCAGCAAAAGAAATGGCAGAATGAGAACAGAAACCACGTTTTCCCTCCTTCTCAGATCTCTCCACTAAAACGTGCACCTCCTCTCACATCCCAAATTAAGTCGCCTAAAGTGTATTTTCAAATGTGCTGCATTCCATGTGAAAAGGAGAAAATTGTGTTTTCTTTTGGTTTTCTTAAGGATGAATTATGAATGGTAAAAATAAGTAAAGAAATGTGAAACCTAACTTGAGGCTTGAAATATATATGATATCTGAGCAGCAGCATGACATTATGGGGAGAGAGCTGGCCTAAGAGGCAGGAGGACATGGGTTCAAGTCTCATACCTGGCACCGAATTTCTCTGTGGCTCTGGGCAAATCACTCGGCCTCTTATTGCCCCAGAAAATTCTCTAAGACAAAAGATGGCAGAGGAGGGGCCAATCTGCATTGCTCCAGGGAGTTTTCTCATCCAGGAGTTCCCTGCATCAATGAAACGACAGCAAGCACGTTGGTGCAGTGCGTGTGTGTGTGTGTGTGTGTGTGTGTGTGTGTGTGTGTGTGTGTGTGTGTGTGACAGAGGGAAAGAGAGTAAGAGAGAGAGAGAGAGAGAGAGAGAGAGAGAGAGAGAGATGGAGAAAGGGAAGGGAAGGAGGAAAAGGGAGAGGAGGAGAGAGGGAAAGGGAAGGAAGGAGAGACCTATGCTTTCAATGGGAGAAGGAGCTTCCGTGCGAGTACTGCCATCTGGCAATGTTGATATTGATATATGCACGTATATACTGACTTCCTGCTTTCTTACAATAGAATGGAAGTGACGGTTTGTTTTTTTTCTGTTTATCCCCAAAACCTAGCACACAGTGGTTGTTGTCATTAACGTTGTTTCAGTCATTTATGACTCTTCGTAATTCCTTTGGGGATTTTCATGGCAAAGATATTGGAACAGTTTGCCATTTCCTTATCCAGATCATATTACAAATGAGGAAACTGAAGTAAAGAGAGTAGAGTGACTTGCAAAGGGTCACACATCTAATTAGTGAGGCCAGATTTGAACACAAGATTTGACTCCAGGCCCAGAGCTCTCTCTGGTGTATCACGGAGCTGCCCCCCAAAATGCTTCTGCTCTTCAGTCAAGTCCAACTCTTCATGGCCCCATTTCGGGTGTTCTTGACAAAGATACTGGAGTGTTTTTCCATTTCTTTCTCCAACTCATTTTACAGATGAGGAAACTGAGGCAAAAAGAGGTTAAATGACTTGTCCAGGTTCACACAGCTAGTAAGTGTCTGAGGCCAGAGTTGAACTCAGGAAGATGAGTCTTCCTGACTCCAGGCCCAGGGCTGTATCCACTGAGCCACCTAGCCATACACAGTATTCAATTTGTAAATATTTGCTGATTGATTGAAAACTCCTCCCACCAATGGAGACCAGCAAGTCATCTGTAAATCTAATCTTAGAGAAGTGCCTACACAGCTAGACTGGGGAGACAAATACAAAAGCAAAACTATCCCTGCCCTCCAGAACCCTTCACAGGCATATGTGTGCATATACGTATGTGTGTGTGTATACCATTGGGAAGCTTAGGGAAGACACCAGCTGTCAGAGAGAGAGGACACCAGAGAAGACGTCCTGGAGGTGACATTTGAGCTGAGTCCTGAAGGAAATCAGTTTCCAAGAGTCAAAGGCAAGGAGGAGGAAGAGCATTTCACTGAGACCCAAGGAAGCCAAGTGATTGGCTCAAAGTCACATAGGCGGTAGACCTCAGAGTAGCTACCCCATATATGATGTACATACACAGGCTGCATATGCACACAGATAGGTGTGTATCTGGTCATTGCACCCCACAACCCTTTCAGGTGGCATCCCAGGGGTCATGACTAGCCCAAGCTCCCAATCCCTCCAAGGCGCAGACTCCAGATCTAACCCATCTCCACTTATAGGCTTAGGTTGGGAAGAGCTGGATCTGGGCCCTGCAGCCAGTCCTTCTCCCCTCACCTGCCCACACCGCTCAGTCATCTGGGTTCCTTAATTCAATTACTTTAAAGGTTCTGCTCCGAGCTCTGTGGCTGTCCTGTTGGCCGCCATCATCAGTGAAGTGGCTGAGAAGAGGCAGCACTGGACCAGCCCATTGCCTTTCCCTGGTTTGTGATGCTTTCACATGAAAATGAATCCCATAAAAGTCTTAAGACACAAAATAAGGCACTCAGAATCTGAAGGGGGCAGGGCTTTCTCTCCTATGTATGTGTGTGTGTGTGTGTGTGTGTGTGTACGTAAACACACACATACCCATAGAGGTACTCAGACTTGCTCAGGATGATACAGCTGTTGTGTATCAGAGGGAGGTTTGAACCTGGATCTTCTTGACTTTGGGCAGCTCTCTGCCATGCCAAGGTACTTCTCTCTGCACAAAGACACACTTATCCTTTTGTGCAATCAATCAGTCAGTAAACATTTGTTATATGCCAGAAACTGTGCTAAATTCTGGGGGTAGAAATGCAAAAAAGAAAGACAGTCTCTGCCCTAGAAGAGTGGAAAAGGGTAGGGTGGGAAGGGACCTGGTGAAGGACAATAGGAGAATGTCCAAAGCCATGGAGCTGAGAAATGAAGAGCTGACTGGCTCAGTGGGCCTCCTTAAATGAAGGTTTAGCTTTGGGGAGTAGCTCTTTGACCTTCCATTCAGACAGGTCCCAGGGATAGAGGGCACTGATTACAGTCCAGGAGTGGGGAACCTGTGGCCTTGAGGCCACACGTGGGCCTCTAGGTCTTCAAGTGTGGCCCTTTGACTGAGTCCAAACTTCACAGAACGAGTCCCCGTAATAAAAGGATTGGTTCTGTGAAACTTGGCCTCAGTCAAAAGGCCGCACCCAAGGATCTAGAAGGCCACAGCATCTTCACCAGTGAAGTAGACTAAGCTCCTTGAGGGCAGCGACTGTCTTCTGCCTTTTTGTCTCCACTGGCTTAGCACACTTCCTGGCACATAGTAGGTGCTTAATAACAGCTTACTGAATGAATGAATGAAGATGTGAATATGAGGTTAATTTGATCCTGTACTATGATGAGGACCCTGTGGGCATGATGAAAAAAGTCCAAAGTAATCTACACACAATGCATGTACACAAATAATTTGGTCCAGACTTTGACATATCAATTCTAGGAATTTCTCATAATTCCTTTAAACCTTATCTAATATCTCTCCTGTGGACCACCCAGCTTCAGTTTCACTGGGTCAACTTGGGAAGCTCCATGAACCAAAAATATCAATGTGAACTGTATTCTAGGAATGGACCGAATTTCTAAGGAAAGAATACTGGAAGTGTCCCTCACACTTAACTGTGAAAGGTTTCAATCACTTAAATGAAAATTTTCTCATATCTGACACTGGTGGGTGGGGCAAAATGGCATTTGTTATGGAATAATTTTGAAATTTTTGTGTAAAGCAGAATATTCCACTAAAGTCTCAAA